AAGCCAGACTAACGTACTTACATTTGATAGCAGGAGGCTTGTCCGAAATCCCCATGCTGATTTGGATATCCTGTCCTGCACGATGCTAACAATTTGGAACTTGTGCTCAACTGTGAACTCCTGAATAGCTTGACGTGTGTGTCTAAAGTCAAGCTTGATTCAAAACAAACATTCCCACTAAATTAGAATGTTGACACAGTGGCGTAGAAAAGAGGATGGCCTGTCAACTTCACTGTCTACATAAAGGCTGTGTGTTCAAATCCTGGTAACTTGGAGCACTTGGAGAGTTGTGGGGGCAAGAACTATACAATGTTTTCCCCCACCATCCTGCTTGTGGTGTCTGCTGATGTTTAACGACCCGCTTTAGGCGAGCCCCCAGTCCACACTGTGGCTTGGAACAAACTATCCCTCTTCAAGCTCTGGCGCAAAGATCAGACACAGTTTTCGGAGTCTCAAGGGCGACATAAAAGCTTACGAACTGTGACTTACAAATCTTGTCATATAACCTCGCCCCCGTGAATGATTTGAGCCCGTTGCTGTTTGGACAGACAATGCAATAAATAATTTCAACAACAACAAAATAATAATCATAACTCCACAGAATGTCGTAACCAATAAGCATAGCACATGGTTCCTTGTTCAACGACCAAATTCTCATAATAATACGTGCACACAATGGTCATGTGGTCTGAGAGAGTTGTGACCGGTGCAAGCGGTTCCTGGTACAGTGACTTGTTCTTTCCATGAGAGCTTGAAGTGAGTCAAGGCCACCGGAGGAATAATGATATGGCTGTTGTCAGTTCATATGGACTAGATACACACACAGCATAGGATACAGCAAATCTCTGCATCATCTTTGTTATCTTCATTATTGTTATCAGTGTTACCGTATTGCAAAGATTACGGCTTTCTTGCTAAATTAATGAGCCAACGCAGCGCTGAAAAAGTCGGAGAAACTTATTGCGAGCGCCGTAAAACTTCTACTAAAATAAAAACAAAGTAGAAACTTAAAGCCACCTCGTTGATTTTAGTTTATAGAAATAATTGTCGTAGTGTTGAGAACATAACAATAAAAGCAGGGCACCATTGAAGCCTGTTGACGATATTATGAATATGATCATCTGCAGCATTGGTCAAGGTGTCTGCCACGCATGCGCGTACACATTTCGCCACGGTCTGGCGTCGGAGCGGGGTCGGCTCAGCTGCTATCAACGACGGACTGAAGTGCAGGTGACCTCGATTTCAACTTTCAACTTTTCAAACTGATGTCGTGGTGGCTAACCTGGGTCACCCTTAATGTTTGCTAGCTAGCTGGCAGGGCTCTGGGGAAACTGTGAGGGGCCTAGCAAGCAGATAGTGGATATATTATATATATATACACACACACACACACACACACAGAGAGAGAGAGAGAGAGAGAGAGAGAGAGAGAGAGAGAGAGAGAGAGAGAGAGAGAGAGAGAGAGAGAGGGAGGGAGGGAGGGAGGGAGGGATGGAGGAAGAGAAAAGATTCTATTGTAATTATGTTCTTTGTATTGTGGCAACGCTTATTGAGCAATGTCCAAGAGGAAATGCGCTATATGTATGCGGTGTATTATTTTTGTAATTATTTTTGTAATTATTTTTGTAATTATTATTGTTATTGTTATATATCATCATCATCATCATCATCATCATCATCATCATCATCATCATCAGCATCATCATCATCATCATCATCATCATCATCATCATCATCACCATCATCATCATCATCATCAGTAACTCTAAAAGACCATCCAACTCCCTTTCTATTGATAATATTATAATATGTCTATCTGGAGTAGACAGATCATTGCGCCAGGCTTGATGGTATGGAGGACCCCTGAAACATAAATGAAAAGCCCCAAAAGGCGAAACTGCTGGGCGTCAACTACAGGCAAGGCACACTGACCTGCGAAGGAGACAGAGTTGAGTATGCTTCTCTCCAGAGGCGGCACCCACCTGCCCATGAGTGCGTGGATACAGGGGAAAGTGACTCCCTGG